TAGAAAAACAGACATAAAGAAAAACATAGAGGTTATATTATCAAACTTAATTATCCTACACATTATCCTCCAGAGTGTTTTCTAGAATTATGTGATTAATAGAATTAAAACAAATTAGCTTTTATTAATTTTTTGGATATTTTTTTTTCAGCATAAAATAATATATATATATATATATTATTGTGTCTATTGACAAAATGTAATTTTGGTTTTATCTGTAAACGTTTATATGCACAACTTGTAATTTATGAAATAAAGACTACAGAAACAGCCAGGCCCGGGTATTAGGGTGCTCGACTTGTAATCTGTGAGGGCGTTATAATATGACAGTCAGTCCCACTATTCGTTGGTAAAAGAGTGGGCCAAGAGTTGGCTGTGGGTGGTCATGACTAGCTGCCTTCTCTCTGGTAAATTAGGGACGGCTAGTGTGTGACTTTGCGCGAAATTCAAAAACAAGCAAACACAAACAGCCCCCCCCCCGTTGCCACAGCGTTATGTCTGCGGACTATCAACGCTAGAAACCAGGTTTCGATACCTGTTGTGAGCAAAGAACAGATAGCCCTTTGTGTAGCTTTGTGATTAACTACAAACAAACAAACTACATAAACATTTCAATTACAAAATAAGTTTAAAGATGCTCTTATTATTCAGAATTACTGTATTTATATGTCGTTCTTAAACTACATAAATCTCCCATTATCTTGTGGCCTAAGTGGTTAGGATGCCCGACTTTCAATCTGAGAGTCTCGCCAAACATGCTCGCTCTTTTACCTGTGAGGGCGTTATTATGTGACGGTCAATCCCACTGTTCGTTGGTAAAAGAGTAGCCCAAGAGATGGCAGTGGATGATGATAACTTGCTGCCTTCCTACTAGTCTTTCACTGCTAAATTAGGGACGGCTAGCGCAGATAGCCCTCGTGTAGCTTTGCATGAAATTCAAACCAATTAAATTTCGTTTTACTTCTGGTTCAGTAAAAACTATACTAACAAAACTTGCAGTTTTATTTTAAAAATTACTGAATAAATTATTTCTTAAATTCCAACGAAACCTAAGTAGTAAACGTGAATTGTGTATAATACACCCATCTTAAAAAAACTACAAAATTTAAATAAAAACAATCATCAGATACAATACTAACTTATAATTTTACTACTTTACTAACAACTTAACGATTTGGTTATGGTGATGAATTTATTATATCAATTTATAGAGCTGCTTATATAGATAGAAAAACTAACTTTTTACTGTTAACAATTTTAAAAATATGTTCAGCTTTTGCATATGTAACAAGATAGCATCGTTTGGAGCGACAAGACACTCATCACAACAGATTTATTTAAAGACCTGGGATATGCAGTCGCGAGAGGATACACAAGTCAACCAACTTGAGGAAGTTTACAAGTAAAGCAAGGAATACAAATACTGAGCCCAATTCTACACACAAAGATATATACTTTATTAACATGAAGACATGAAGGCATATACTTCATTAATGGTAAACAATAACGTTGATCACCACAAAGGTTTATATTTTCAGTAACATTTATTAGTTGCAAAATGTTCTAACCTTAACACCTTATCAACATTACTTAGTTAACTTTAACAACTTTAACATTATACATCTTCTTGCCAAAATTATCAGTTAAGGGAAAGTAGCAATTAAAACCTACATGGAGTTAGTGTAGTGCAAGTTTTGCACGTATGTATTAACTGCCATTCTGTGTTTTTGTATATATGAGAGAACTGGAACGACCTGGAACTTTCTGGAGCAACCTCGAGGCAGGGAATAACCCTGATGTTAGGGACAACCACACCTTTGGTCCAGAGACATAACTTTTAAAGGGGTTTTCAGCATAATCCATTCAAACTCATTGGGGTAGACTTCAAAGTGATTGGTCCAGCAATTACAGAGGACTCGTCTCTCTTTAGTGATTGATGCCCAGTGACCCAGGACTGGACGATAAATGACATACAATGTTACCTGTGTATACAATTTCACATCCTGTGTAGTCTGTCTTCAATAAACATCTTTCTGACCAGATTAAAATTGTTGATACATTCACATTTATTTAGATTTATACAACCGTCTAGTTAGAATCACTTTACGTGACAACCCTCTCCATTCTTATTAATACGCAAACAATGTTAGTTGTTCTTAACATGTGTGTTCAACGTTTGTTACTATTTCCGACTTCTACTAAGTTGTAACACAAGTTTAGCTCGTGAGGAAACTTAGTTGAAGCATGTGTTTATTTTAAAGGGTCAGATAAAATCGTGAAAAATCTTATTCGAAACATTTGTTTTAATATTGTTACGTCTCTGGTCGTTAGTTAATTCTTTTCTAAGAAACATTAGCGATACAAGTCCTGCCTTAAATAAGACTAGTTTATTCTTTCTCAATACAACTTTGAAATTCACTTAATTTCCACAGTCACGCTATAATTTAAACAAACGCTATAATTCATAACGAACGAACGATTTACGCGTTTGATTCAATTGTCGTCTCTATCTCTGTCTGCAATTCAATTACATTGTTGCCGTCACTTCTTTGCGGTGTTATATACAAGAAAACCGTACATGTAGTAAACACTAGAGGCTTCACGAACCTTCGAGAATATCATAACGTGTTACTAGCGTCACGTGACTTCCGCTGTCGGAACACTGCCCCT